GGCTGGAAATCCTCAGCTGGCGGCGCGACCCTCCGAGACAAATCCTGGAAGCTGGGAATAACATCTCGGTTGCGTCAACGCTCCCTCTCTCTTTCCCGAAGACGGTTATCGATCCGGATGGCCACAGCGATGAGGGATTCCAGATCCCGGGGTGTCTCCAGTGGAGCCAGCTGGTCCTTTATCGGTTCCGAAAGTCCCGTCATGAAGGCGTCACGAAGAGCCGGAACATTCCATCCGCTGTCTGCTGCTGCTGTACGTAACTCGATGGCATAATCAACCACCTGACGGTTGAGCTGACGTATTTGAAACAGTCTTCTGCTGGCCTCTGTAGCAGGTGATGAGTGGTCAAAAATGCGACTCATAGTCTCTAAGAAATCGGCCAATGAGTAACATAGTTCGGTGTCTCTAGACCATTCTGCAGTAGCCCAGGCTGCAGCTCTTCCCGTTAAGTGAGACACGATAAATGCCACTTTACCATGGTTAGATAAAAAAGCTCCTGGGTTGTGTTGAAAATGCAGATCGCACTGTACCAGAAAGGCTCTGCAATTCGAGGAGTCTCCGGAAAATCTCTCCGGAAGAGCCAGCCGTAAAGGGGAAGAAACAGCCTGATTTGGGTAAACTGTGTCAGCTGGAGTATTGACAGGCAACCTCTCAGCTGTGGATGATGTAACTAGGGTGACCAGATGTCGGGACTGCACAGCATTTTCACGACTTTTGGTGCGTCCCACAAATTGAGACGATGTCCCGCATATTTCATTTTGATTGGCTGAAACGCTTTTCTTAAAATCAGATTTATCCAATGGCTGTTGAGAAAGCAGGGAAGGCTGTCATCACGGGGGTGTGTTTGCTGTCAATCAATCTGTAACACACGGCGGGTGCTGGTCAAGTGTTAACCAATGAGTAACTCACTCACACACCCCCCCCCCCCGCAGCCCCGCCAAACAACAACAACAACGAAAGTCAGTCAATAATGCAGGCGACGCAGCAGGTTATGGAACATGGAGGAAACTGAAACTACAGCTAAGAAGAAAAGAAGATGCACATACAACAAAGACTGGGAAGACACTTATCAGTGGGTGAAGCCAGTGCAGGGTGACTCTCAGAGAGAGTTTTTTGCAATCTTTGCAAGAGTAATTTTTACAATTTCACATGGCGGTGAATACGACGTCAAAAGACACCGAGAATGCGATTCTCACAAGAAACTTGTCGCTCAAAAAGAGACATCCCACTCTATGGAGACATTCCTACTCAAACCAAAAAATGATGGCCACTCAGACAAGGTAACAGCAGCAGAAATAACCAGTGTTTACCATACAGTGCAACACTCCCAATCATACCGGTCAAATGACTGTGGTAACAAGCTAGCGCTGACCATTATTCCAGACTCTGAGATAGTAAAGAAAATGTTATGTGGACGTACAATAGCAGCTTGCCCCTGCCTCTGTGGAGAGTTGTTTGGCAGAGTTAAAGACACCAGTGGCTCTAGGTGGCAAAATAGCCCACACACTGTGGGGGGGGGGGATACTAAATTGTTACTGCATTTTGACTTGACTTTCTGTCATTGTTTATTGGATGCTGTTGAATAGATCAAATGAAACAGAATAGAAAATAGATTTTTTTTCCGGGGGGGGGTATGTGCTGTTGATAGGGTGTCCCACATTGTCCCACACAAACATACTCCTTGTCCCACATTTGGTTTGTTGGGACCTCGTCACCCTAGATGTCACCGGAAGAACAGTCTATTGGTAAGTGAAAAAACGATTCATTTGGGCAACCAGTTGTTGCATCTGTGTAGAAATGTGTTCTTGATAATCTGCCTGGCGTCCTTCCAGCTCTTTCCTTTCCTGGGCAGCTATGCCCAGCTGTTCCTCATGGTGATAAATCCTCACGCCTTGTGCTGACAGGGCGGCGTGAAGCGTTCTTGGGTCGGCTGGGTCCATAATGGTCAGTTCGTTCTGTTACGAACTCAGACACTTAGGATGTAGGACCCAATTGCACGACCCGGGAGACAGAGGTAAAGTATTTGTAATATACTTTATTTTTCCAAAATACAGCAATAACAACAAAAAAGGTCACTATCAAATCTCAAGTTTGAGATGACAAAAATAGAGAACCAAATGAAAGCGCTCACGTAGTGAGGAACAAAAACTTTTCCAGAGCACAGAGAGCATACACCTGACCATGGCAAGAGAGAAGACGAACTGACGAGGAACACTGGGAGACAGGGAAATGTAACCACATGACAATGAGAAACAGGTGTGAACAATCAGGGGCGGGACTGACGCTGATGAGCATAAGAGACACAGAAGGATGCCAGGTGAAAACAATCAGGAAGCCTGGAATGAGAGATAACTGGTGAGTGAGAAAACAAACATAAAACAAAATGAACCTGAACCTCTCTAACATTTCTGTCGGTGCACAACAATCATAAATATATCAGCAATTAAACAACATCTTCAATTTCTATTCACACAATACGTCACCTTGCAGTATCAACACTAATTCGGCTGACTTTTATATTTGATCCAATTGGTAGATAGGCTATATTTACACCATAACGGTGCACAGCTGATATGAAAGGACTTGTAATTTTTAAAGATATTACTGATTTTCTTTGAATATAAGAATGTAAATACTAAATCTGAAATAATACAGCAAAATGCTGTAAAATTATGTGAAAACATGAATAAAACTACACATCTTCAGATGTTGTACATACATAAGTGTCCTACACTAATAATACAAAGTTATTATGGATGTGTGTACCTGATGTGCTGCGCCTAGTGTTAAAGCACGTTATTGAATTATTGTTTTAATGTGTTATATTTGATGAACAAAATATTAAGAGTACATACTTTCAGAGGGGGAAAGTAGAAGGTCAATGATAGAAATATAGAATATAAAAAATCAAGAAGCTACTATAAGTGATCTCTACAATAAAACAGTTTACTGCAGGATGTACAAAGATATTAAATTAATAGGACGATGTGCAAAACAGAAAAACGAATTAACCTTTATTTAAACATTAAATTATACTTTAGATTAAGGTCTTCTTTTAAATAAGAAAAAAGCTTTGGGGCTATCGACAGATAAATATTAAGCCTGACAAAGTACTTAACGTCTAATATATTGCTTTCCTGCAATGTTAACTATGTTGAAGCACTTATTTTAACTGATATCATACATATCACCGCTAAATGCACTTTAATACAGGGGTATCTCCTCTTGCACTTTATGTAGCACTTTTATCTTTTCTTGCACTTTATATGTCGTAGCTGCTATATTGTACTGCCATGTGGTAAATACTTGTGTATGCTGCTCTTGCTCTTTTGCATATCATGTAGTTTGTCAAATGTAATTTTCTTAAATGTTTTATGTGAGGGACTGCGGATGGAAAATAGCTCAAAGCTAAATCTGGCACTGTTACGCTTGACACATTTGAATGTTTTAAGTGTTCATTACTGTGCATTGTCCCTGCCAAATAAACGATGAAATTAAATAAATATGAATTATACTCTCATGTATGTAGATAGTATAAGAAATGTGCAGACTATGACAGTTTAATGGTGGTTGTACACACATATTGATAGATGTCTTGTTGTCTTGTTGAGGAACCTGCGACCCAAGATTTTCAATCATTGCATAACTACACCATAGTTGTGTATATGATATGTCAATAAACCTTTGAAAATCTTGAAATCTTGAAAGGGATGTGTAAAATAGCCATTATATACAGTCTTTAATTAACTATTAGTAGAGAATAACGAGTAATGAATATACTTTATAGAGATCTGCAGATAAATGTTTAGTCTTCTCAAGCATCAACTATCAAATATCTCGCCTGATTGTTGGCACTTGACAATCACCTTCCCTGAATTTTACTCAGGTGTAACTAAAGTCTGATTTAAGGGTTGTTTATATTTCTCATCATTAATCAGAATCTGTAAAGTAACTAAAATAAATGTAGTGGAGTAAAAATACCAGTTTAACCTCTGAATTGTGGTGGAGTAGAATTAATAAGTAACAATGAGCTGTCATGTGGGTATATATTAATGCTGCCCATTATGGACACAAGCTGGTCCCATTCGAATCCAGTTTTGGATAGTCTGCCGTGGTTTTGTTCCATTGCATTAACACCAAATCCCAACGTGCATTGCGGCTAAAACATCCAATCACCAAGCTTAAACCATAGCTGAGGATCTTGGGTAATCAGTTCAGTGGCTGTGTATCGCAATGATGCTCAAAATGTCCCATATAGGCCTACGTCTGTTTCCGGTTATTTTTATTTTGAAATTCAGTTCCTGACGGACGCCAAAAAAGACAGAGATTGTGGAATTAAACAAATAAATAAAAACAAGGATATTTGTGTGTTATTGTTGAGTAAATAACAGTGTGTTATTTAGAAAAGAATAACAAATTAGAAGGAAAAAAATATTTTAAAAATACAGATTTCAGTATTCTGATGCTCTGAGCCCCATTTATTTTCCTCACGGATGGCAAAAAAAGTCCGACATTATACGATTTAAAATAAAAACAATAATCGTGGCTTGATATTGAGTAAGAAGATGTTTTTATGAACCCCACAGCTTCCGGTCTTCCAAGACCCGACCGGATAAAAATACGTGTTGCAGGCACGAAACACACTACCAATAGAAATACATTGCTTTTAAAATCGTTCTGTGTGACACGAAAAAAGGGGTAAATCATGTTGGTGAACACGAATCAATAGATTAAATGTTGTGACTATTTACACGAAATGCCGTGAGACTGGGTTGTACTCGATTATGCAACTTGCAATAATTTCAGCACACTACGATATGTTTTGATATATTTACGCATTAATTCGAAATATGCTATGTTGTTGCTGTGTATTTAAATGTAATGATATATCTTATTTATATACAACATATTTATATATTGAACATGAGGATTTAATTTGTTTGCATTAAGTTATTAATAACACGAATCTTAGAGCAGCGTTTAACATAAATTGACAAACCTTTGATACACATAATAGTTTTTATTGGGGAATGTCATCCAGATCCACTCATACACTCTCATTAATCACATATGTACAGATTAAATAAGGCACATGCCATAGTGGTAGAGTGGACGGGAAATATTCTTTACACAGATAAATCCTCAAAAACACATTATGACATCCAGCAATGTAATAATTATCAATAGATTCCCGCTTGATTATGTACAAATGAATTGTGAGCAGAAAGAAGAGATGATGAGAAAGAGCAAGGCCTCAGCTAATGCTGAAGGACAATCCAAATTTCCAAATTCCTCAATGACAAATGTTTAGGCAGAGGTTTTTTTTAATATTGAAATTCATTGTACATTTATAAAAAAAATCTGTTTCTGCTGGACATATGTTTTATAATTAATTTACTTTTCTTACTCGGCTTTGTTCCACAAAATTATATAATTTACAATGAGGTCTTTGATCAATGTTTTTCTTCCTTAAGATGGATGACAGTCACCATGAATGGAATTGACGGTGTGAAAGCAACTGTAACAGTACAAAAAAACTGCACATAGAATACTGCTATATTGCTTTAGAAGAGCAGAGCAGGAGCTTCCTCAATTCAGAACAAATCACAGGGAATTTAGTGCTCTTCTCTTGCAAGCGACAACCACTCAGCTTTCACAGAAAGCAACACCTGAACATTTGTTCAGAGGCAGAGGTGGCTCAGACAATGGAAGGGCATATCTCCCCTGACATAATAAATATTTTGCCCCTCATTTTTTGGGCTGCCAGCAGACTGTTATCCTCATTGCTTATCCTCGCTGTCAGTTTCTTTTGTCCTTTCGTTCACAGTCTCTCCCCTCCTTCCTTCATTGGCCAGTGTAAGTGGCGCTGTGCCAGTGGCAGTGACAAGTCTCTGGTGATGAGATCCTCACTCTCTCTCTCACAGTTTGATGTCTTGGGTCTCTAACATCTTTGCCAGGCTCTTCTTCACCCTCAGGGCTGTGAGGCGAGAGGCCGGGTTGTGAGCCCAGCACTCGGACATCAGTTTTCCCATCTGCCTTAGACACTAAAGACACAAATGTACATCATTTTTAAATCAGTCCTTTAAAAAGGTTGTAATACATGGATCATTACTGATTTATTATTAATTATAAGGAATTTTTAAGACCAATTATTTTCTTTAAAAATGCACTCCTGATTTTATTGAACACATATTGGTTATTGCTATTTATAACTAATGTATTTTTGTTAGAAACCGATCACAGCTATTTAACGAGCCTCTTTCTCGACATTTGTGAATGTGGAGAATATAAACCAACCAAAGACATTTTGTTACAACCTGGCAAACAGAAGTGTTATTTTTAATGTTGTATTCCTTCTGTATAAAACAAGCATATTGTTATATTGCATGTTTTTATTTGATTGTAATTACTTGTTTAAAATTAATTATGTTTTAGGTTGACTTACAAAATCGGTCCAGGGACTACAGATGAAAAATAGCCTCTTGGCTAACTCTGGTACATTTACAGAAATGTTAATTAATGTCCCTGTTAAATAAATGAATAAATAAAAAAAATATATATCATGAACCATATTACTATTAAAATGTTTGAATGTGATAAAGATAAACATTTAAAATACCTCATCACTTGTCCAGCGGTTAGCAAATGAAGGTCTTTGTTTCTTAATGCAGGCAACTTCTATCATGTCCTCGTAGGACGGATCAGTGGGCACAAGGTCATGATAGGGCAGCTGGTACTCCTCCACGATGCCTTCAGGATAAACAGATTTATGTGGGAATTAGTATAATCATCAAGAAAACATTTACGAATATATCATGTTTAAAACAAGTTTTATGTTTTCCTGACCTCCAGAGATGCAACGTCGGGCCATCTCCCAAACGATGAGGCCAAAACTATACATGTCAGCCATTATAAAAGACTGGAAGTAGGTCCTGTTCAGGGTTTCTTCCAACACTTCAGGTGGCATGTAACGCTTCGTACCAACCCGTAGGTTAGGAGGGATATCCACCTCATTGGTGTCACTAAGAGAGGGAGGAGAAACACAAATAAATGGAGATATGTAAGAAAATGTCCTAAACTATAGTAAAAGTATTTAAAAGTACAAAATGTTTGTTGTACCTATTAAACTTGACCGCTAGTCCAAGGTCTGCTATACAACAGAATCCATTTTTTTTTACCAAGATGTTTTTACTCTTCAGGTCTCTGTGTGCGATGGCCGGTTTGCCCTGTGTGCCATATATCTCAGTGTGCAGGTGACAGAGGCCTGATATTGACGAGTAGGCCAGTTTGAGCAGAGCCTTGACGTCTAAGGTGTTGGACTTGAGGTAATCGTATAAAGATCCACTCTCATGGTAGTCTGTGATAAGGTAGAGCTGAGTCCATGAGCCGGTTCCTTTAATATCAGCAGCTATGAATCCTGGGGGATAGACGTGACAGAAATAAGAAATGTGTGCACACGTAAAATATATAACGGTAACAATTTGGGTCAACATGAGGAAACATTTTATGACTTGTCCCTGGGATATTATCTTTATTTAAGCTCATTTTAACAGACACACAGGCACATCAACACTTAGGACAGTCCTTAGATTAATTAAATGTTGCACGCTATTTATGTCACCTTACCTAATATATTGTCATGTCTCATTAGGAACGTCTGATATATTTCAGTCTCTCTGAACCAGCTGTCTTCTTCTGTGGTGAAGAACACTTTAACAGCCACTCTCTCTCCTCTCCACTTGCCCATCCAGACTTCTCCGTATCGCCCTTTTCCGATCTGCTTCACCATCTGAATCTGCTTGGCGATAGTGCGCTGCACCTGGTAACAGATTAATGCAAAACATGTGTTATTTATTATGACATTTCTCTTTAGAAAAGTATTTAATTAAACACCTTCATATTGAAAATTATACTTCCATCATTACAGTCACTTATTACCTTATGATTAAATCTCTTTCCTGTTGCTTTTGTAATTAGTTGCACCACCATGAAAAGCACTTAAAATAAACAATTTCTGTTAAGTGGTCCATTTGTCTCAATGTGGAAAAGTAGGGGAATAATTGGTATGATATTGATAATTATACATGTATGTCATATGGGCAACTTATGTGCCTTTTCTATGATGGTTTACCTTCACACTAACAGTAAAAGTTGGACCATTTTATAAAAATATATAAAAAACACAATTCCTAACAAAGGCATTGAAATGGATTTTTTTTTATACCAACCAGCCCAAGGTGAAAATTGAAAGATAATGCAGACATTTATTATAGTTATTTGAGGTTATTTGAGCTTGTGATGTTGAGCCAGATGTGCACTTGTATTTTCTTACCAGTAGAGGGAGTCCTGACCCAGAGCCTGACCCGATGCTGCGTGAATGCTCGATCAGGTCCTTCAGGGACTCCCCGGGGGGGATGTACGTCTCCTCCTGCTCCAGGTCAATACTGTAACGTGGTCTTGACTCCTGCCGCTTATATCTGCAACAAGAAGGTGATGAAATGTTTACCAACACACATCTGGGAAGTTGTTGAAAATGCATTAGATGTCTTCAGGATGCTTACCTGAAGTAGCAGAAGAGGAGGATGAGACCAAGGATGATACTGCAGACGGTGATTGATATGAAGAGTGCCATGTACTGGATACTGCTGTCAACGTAATCTAAAAAATAGGAAGAAATATGTATATTATTTCAATTTTTTTATGTAGTTTTTATTATCTAACCAACACTAAATGGGAATAATCCTGTCCTGAGAGTGAGGTGATTAATAGGTAGTGACAGTCATTTGTTCATTGTTATCAGCTCTAACATCTTTCTAATTTTCTCTGGCAGGGACAAGCTCCTTTTCTTCTTCCTCCCCCTAACCCTTCCCTGCTCTGCTCCTCCGCCTCTCTCTCAGCGTGTGATCGATCACATCCCCTTCCTGAATCCCACAGATCAGCTGTCACTCTGACATCGCTACAGAAACCCCAGAGGCTGAAAGCAGCTCTGGGACTCTAGCCTTACTGCCGTGCTCCTGCCAATCAGACACACAAAAACACACAGGCTCGAAACCCGGGGGGACTCCATGGTGTGCACGAACCCACACACACACAAAAGAAAGAAAAAAAACTGCATTGATAGCAAAGTGTCTTGTGAAAACCTTGCATGTTAAATAATAGCTCTGGGTTTAGTCAAAGATTTGTTGGATGGGTAAGCAAAGGCAAATTGTAAAAATATAGCTATATAAGCTCTTAATAGTTTTCTCTGCAATGAGGGAATCTTATCAACAATTAAGGTGCAACTAAGCTTACCCCCAAAGTATTTTCGATACAAGTGTTTATTTGAATTGGATAACCACTGATTGCCTGGAAGCTATTTACTTGCTTTGTTGTTGCAAAAGTTGCCCTTTTCTCAAATCTCAGTTATAATCGTTTGGCAGTAGCGTCTTATCATAGCTGATAAACATTGATGGTCAAAATTATGAAAATAAGACCAAATAATAATTGTCATTTATTTCTCTCCAACTGACTGGCGATGTCAGTCTGTTGTCGTTTGCTTGAAGGTCAAGACAAAATGTGTGTGAGGCTGTGTGAGAGCGAAAGGGTGAGTTTGTGTGACAGAGACAGGGAGCGAGAAAGAGAAGGAATGTGTGTGCGTGTGAGTTGGTGTGTTGCGGAGTAACAGATGGACAGATATCTCACATCCGTCCCGAGGCAAGAAACTCAAGCAGGCCCTGGGGAGAGGCTGTCCTTTTCATTAGAGGGTGAGAGAACAAGCCGAGGCTGCAGGCTCTGTTTCACCTGCCTCTCTCTTTCTCTCCCTCGCTGCCCCCCGGAGCAGCATGTGCCACTTTACTCCAGCACCATACTGTGGTTTGTAACAGTTTAAACTGTCACTACCCGTCACCCAGCATGGCCTGAATGAGTCCGCTGTAAAATGCCCTCAAGTAGGGCAGGATTTCAGTGTGTGAAAACCTGCGTGAACAAAAGTATGTCTTACCTGTTGTGATGAGTGGAGGAAGAGTAGGATACAAGTCTCTGTTGCAGTAATCCTGATCTGTGCAACACTGGAGAGCTCTCCTCGAACGTGCATTCCACGTGTCCTATCAAACACCAAAACACACACACACAGTTAACACTAATGAGTAGTGTGTATTTACAGCCGCGCGTATTCCTAATAAGAACGTTTTACAACACCAAAGGTTTTTTTTCCCACTGATGGAGGGCTGGAAGTTGTATTTAAATAGGTCTCATAAAGGGCTGTGGTGAGTAAAGGAAAGCTCATAAAGGCTTAACAACGGCTAATGGAGGAGGACACACATACAAAGACAAGTGCAAATATAGGCAGACACACACGCAAATATAGGCACACACACACACACACACACACACACACACACACACACACACACACACACACACACACACACACACACACACACACACACACACACACACACACACACACACACACACACACACACACACACACACACACACACACACACACACACACACACACACACACACACACGACTTACCCTGCACTGGAACTCGAAGCCGTCGAGACCCAAACAACCTGCAGTGACGACTGCATGACCCCCCTCCTCCTCCTCAACCATGGTGAAGCAATAACCATCAGTCCTGTCAAAATGGAGATAATGGAGTCTTTTAATTATTACTGTATTTCCATCATTACAGGTAATTTATTGAATCTAAATGCAGAATTGAAACTGCCTTTTGAATTATATTACATCATATGCACCACCTACATTTAGGCTACATACAGCTGATGCCATTAAACAAAAATGAATTAATGCAAGTGGTTTGACTAATGAAAGTGTTAATAAACTGGGTCTAGAAATGTTAGATTAAGTAAAAAAAAAAAAGATTTTTTATAATCAATCATTATTGTTTTAACCTTAAATAGAGAGTCGTTTGTATATCCTGCGTGCATGTTAGAGTGAGCATGGAATTGTGTGCGCTTCACCGTACATGCATGTGTTGTTGACAGAGTCTTCGGGGCAGTGGTGGTAGCAGTGACACCAAAGCATGTTCTGAGGTGGAACCGGGGCTGTGCTGCTGCTCTCCTCCAACCTTCGCTCCGATCCCCCTTTCCATCCGTTCTTCAGCAGCATGGTGTCCAACATGTTGGCTGTACAGAGAGAGGGAGAGAAAAACTGGACTCAGCCAAAAACATCTGGACAGTATTCTGGTTGTAGGAAAGTCAAAGAGGTAAAACTTCATTACAGCGACCTTAGGAATATTTAAAACGGAATAAATCAAAGGATCCAAACAACATTTCTGCTCATTTCCAGAGAAACTGTATAGTTCTGCCATTCTCTGCACTGTTACCATGGCAATTCACATTATGTGTGAATATGTGCTGCTAAAAGCAATCACACTGTTCTGGACTGGACCTAATGTGCCTGAATAGGGTCTGGAACCAGAACAGCGCAACTCACCAGAAAGAAGTCTTTGTGTGTGTGTGTGTGTGTGTGTGTGTGTGTGTGTGTGTGTGTGTGTGTGTGTGTGTGTGTGTGTGTGTGTATTAAGTGTGAGTATGCAAGTGTTCATAATGCTTTTGAATGTGAGTCGGCAAGACATTGTTATATTAAAGAAAATCCATCTACCATTTTTGGTGTGATACAAAAATATAGTATATATAATGTCTATATAATTAATGGCTTTGTTTATGTTATCTCTTCCTCCAATAAATGAAATACTCCTAACCAATGGAATCATTTAAAATCAACAGATTTGAATATCAATATGACTTAAAACCCATACATGTAGATACAAAAATCCTGTTATTCTCATAAACCACCTTCTATTAATTGTTCTTGCATAATTCTAATCATTTACATCCCAAATAAATCTCGAAATAGCATAGGACAGTTGACATACAGTATCATGAATTGGTTATTTTTGTCAAACTACTAAAGTATAGTACTACTACTTAAAGTATTTAGATGACTGGATATATGACATGATGATTTAGTGTTTATCTTCTGAGAGGAGAAATAACATTTCCAGCAGGCAATGGATGCAGTGAAGCGCAGAACCCAAACAGAGTCAAGCCAAGTGCAGTAAGACAGTAGACATGTATTCACATAAGCCGAGAGGATAAATATTATTGCTCTGAACTTGCTCAGCCTTGAAGTGTTAACTGTTGCTGCCACTGAACTGAAATCACTCCAAGGTATTGTGTGCCATAAAAATGCCATCTTTGGTTATTTAGTTATAAACGGCACTGACATTATGAAATGCTGATTTTGAAAGAAAAATGAAAAACCAATAAGGAACCAATTAGAATTGTAAAACATTAACAGATAAGATAATATCCTTATTATATATAAGAAGAAGATGAATTCACTGTTCATTTGAAGAACATTCATTAATGTTAATCGTCATAAAATGTAAACTATTTTATTAAAAGATGCCTACTGTTATGCATTCATAGTGATTGTGCAGCCTTCTTTATCTTTACTATCAAGTAACTGAAGATGCACACATTTATCAGTGGAGAATAAAACCAGGTCCGACAGCAGCTGGTCCCTGAAGACCTCTGTGGTCAGAGAGCTGATATGTGTTGTGCAGCACCAGATGGATGTCTTCCTCTCTCTCTCTCTTTCCTCTTCTGCTCTCTTTATTAGAATATTTGTATCATAAAACTGTAGATTTCAAGAAAATCTGAGCATGGCATGCCACAAAATATCTTAAAAACGTAAAACAAAGGTCATCATAGAGTTTATCTCGGATTAAAAGTCAGAAAAAAATAATTATATAGTATGCCACAAAATTGTGCACGAAGCATATCTATTAAAAATGTGATAAAAAAGGTTGCATAGTTTGGCATAAAAAATAATAAAACGTCATAGTAAAGTTTTATAATAAAAATATCAATAAAAGATCATAGTTAAGCATGCAACATATCACCAAAGGTTATAGAATAGCATGTTGTAAATAAGTCATCGTACAAAAAAGTCATAAATACTGTAAGTATGGCAGAAAAATATCATGCAAATGTCGCAGTATATTACACTTTAAGATAGGGTTATCAATAGATAAAAAATATGTATTATTCATCTGATTTGAAATCGTGAGTTAGTTTGCATTGCAAAAAAACAATCACAAGCAACTATAAACTATGAAACCTATGTAAAACATATAGGTGTACATCCCAACATAAGATCCATTAATGCATCCATAAAATCCAAGAATAGCCTCCTTATAAGCATGAGGATTCCTCTCCAGGACTATGTGAGGCAAAGGCTGAATCAGAATGTGGTATAGTATAAACACAGAGGCTGTACTTTATTAGTACTCGGTGTCCTTCCAACACTATCGGTGATATTGTTTCTGTCGGCAGGGAAGTTTGTGGAGCAGTTCTGTCCTCCCTCACAGTGGCCTTGGTTTGTCTACACAAGAATGTAATGTTAAATGAAATTGTCTGGCTTTCAGATAAATTCTGCCCATCTCAGCTCTGTTTTTCAAGCTATTAAAAATGAGTTCAGTGAGTTAAGAAAACAGGGGCATTGCAATGACAAGAGCAATGTTCCAGGAAAGTGGATGTAAGGTAAGGAAAATAAATGTGTGTAAATCTAAAGAGGCAACACTAGATGATCAAGGGCTAAAATTAGTACATTTGTTGTGAGACTATCTGGTTGCACAGTATACAGCACAACACGTTTATGTTCAAGTCCTACACATAATAAGCATTTAATTTCAAAGTAAAGTGTGTGACTTGACACAGCACTAAATCCATTTTCACCCCTCTCGCCTCAGCCCTAATCACACCTTTTGGACATATTCTCCTATAATAAACCTCACTGTATGTATAATTAAGTTAGTTGGGGATGTTTAAATGTTTCTGTCTATAAAATGCATACAATGGTCTTTATGATAGTTTGATTATCATTTACTGTCCTGTTTGCTCAGCGCTCAACGTCCCCCAAGCATTGACAAAGGGGGCCTAAGTCTAAAGTTTGAGCATTTAAATTAGGCAGAGCAGATATATTATACATTTACAGCATGAAGTTATTACTCTAGAACTTTAGGTAACACAGGACTGTCTTGTTGCCAAAGAGAGTTTTTTGTGTGTGTGGGGGGGGGTTTGTCATGCTTGGTATATAGCAGCAGGTTTACTACAGAGCCAGTGTGTGCTCCACAGACTATTAAAGAGGCTATAAGATGTAAAGCCAGCAGGAGTCTTACAGTAAGCGAGAGGCCATCTTTGTTATGCTTAGCACTGCTAACAGAGGGCTTTTCTTCCTCAACTAAAGCAGCACATTGATACGGGAGAAAATCACACAGGTATATGTGTAAGAGTAAAAAGATGACCATGCAAGTAAATGCACTTTATAGATTTAGATATATTAGAAAAAATACCTTATTTATAGATTTAAATATTTCATTGTTTTTCTCACATAATTGCCTACACACATTCTCTTTTGTCTACGTCTTACAAACGTAGTGCACGCACGCACGCACGCGCACACGCACACGCACACGCACACACACACAGCACCACACACACGATGTGTTAGCTACAGGGCACACTCAAGGTCACCCCGAAATGTGATCTACGTCCCCCACACATTCCACAGGCTGTCAAACTAGACACACACACTAAGAGTCAGTGTAGCACACACAAACATAAACACAGACAGATACATACATACATGAAGAAAGTTACATATAACTCCAGCTGGAGAACCTTCAGTCACGGCTCGTCACCCGTGGCCCTGCAACTTCACACTGGCTTCAGCTTTTCCAAATGTTTCTGAATCAGTGATGACAGCTCATGAGCCATTTCATGGCCTTGTTTGTAATCTCTTTTCAGTTCTGTAGAAACATTATCACTGTAGTCTGTGACACTTCCTTCCTCCTCCTCACTCACATTCAGTCAAGTTTGCCGTGGTGACAGAAGTATCATGACTGTGGACTGTGTCATTCCTATGATAAAATGAATGATACATGGGAACTAAACTGACATTGAAATTTCCACACCAGATCCAGATGTTTTTCCTAGTTATCACTTTCCTTTTTCATATAACTTACATATTGACTTATTAGAAAAGTCTAATTTTTACATATCCTTGTTTAATATTCTAAATATTTGTTTTCCAAGGGGACATTATATGGAATGCTGACAGAGATCAATGTCACTTGCACAGCAGAATGATTAACATCTGGAATATGGACATCCATATTTTATCAGTACATCTTTCTATCATCATGCAGACCTTCCTATGCCCTGCTTTATTTCCAACAAGCAGTTTGCAGAATAGACAGGAGGCTATGACATTTGCAAATTATACATGATTATAGATGAGCATGTGCATGGTTATAAGGCTTTAACAGTTTTAAACCAAGGCACACATACCTTGATGATATGGTAACAAGTATGACACAAAAGCAACTAGAGTGAAAAGATACAGTGTAATAAGGAATTTCTTGAATTAAGGATGTCAAATGATTCAAATAAGAAGGATATTGGGATTGTTTTAGAACAAGAGCCAGTGATGATTCATGATGAGAATATGCTATGAGACCTTGACTTTTTTAATGAGACTTTGAAGCCAATTTTTTCCTTTAATTTGTAGCTTAATATCTGTGTGTGTATAGACGTGTACTGTCCTTTATAAATCACTGAATTGAATTCCTGATACATATTCAGTGTTCACGGCCACTCTGGATTTGTTCCGTGCAGTAGAAATAGAAATACATGCAACCAAAGGCAGACACCGGGAATCAATGAATATACAATTAAAATATTAGTTTTTTTATTTTTCCATCAAGAGATGACTGGAAATCAATGCATAATAGGATTACTGCCATTACAAGTGATATGTTAGAAGAGAGATGTTGATTGGGGAATTTGAAGTCCAGGAAAATGTAATCTCTACATTAAGTGTTCTAATAAACAGCTTACAAGAAGCCGACCTCCCAGCACAACAGCCGCTTCGACTGTGGGCCGAGACCTTCAACCAGGCTGTTCATCACAAGCAGAGCGGAGGACATGAGAGAAATGGGAGATAAGTTACTCCAGGTGGCCATTATAAATCACCTCCTCAAAGGAGACATCATCCCCAGTGTCTCCCGAGTGCACTCTGACCCTGAGGGGGTCACAACCAACCTGCAGAGGGGCCA